ACAAATTTTCCCGTAAAATGATGAACTATAAAATTAATCATAAATTTTTTTGAACTATAGTTCGTATTATTGACAGCAAGGTGTTAATGTCAATAAATATTAAATTTTTATCCTCAGAATTTATATCTAATTTTTGTATAATTTTATTGCTTGTAATCACCTCCATGTTAATATTTATTATGTGAATAAAAATTACAATGTGATAAACAAAATAAAAGATTATAAACTACAAAGTTTTAATTAAAGAGTTGATTAAATTTATGACTAGTTGGTCGAACGTATTATTATATTATCGACCAATTAACTCATAATTAATGAAGATGTAAAAAACGCTCGAAACAAATCAATAAACAGACATAGGAATTATCGTATTTCGCATTTAAAATTGGACGTTTAAAACTAATGGAAGTACGTGAGAAGGGAAAAGGGTTCACGTACCCTCCTCGAATTCACCCTTTCTCATTCCACATCACCATTGATTTTCAGTCCTTGCAATATAAAGCGGCGCTTGCGTAAAATTTCATATGTACGCCTTTCTAATTTCGGATATAGATTACGATTTAACAAAAAACTTTTAAGTTTTAAGTCTAAAACACCCGAAAAGTTTTCGAAAAAAAAAGAGCAAAAACCATCGCGAATTCGACCATCCCATTTGAATAAATTTGAAATCGAAGGGGCAAGCCGGCAACAACGCGTCTTTGGTGCAGATGCGGACCCGAAACCTGTTTACCTTCGCCAAGAAACGAGATGGTAATATAACTCTCCTCCGGCGCTGGAGGCTGGATCCCAGAAACCGGGGTGAGAGCCGTAAAATCGCTTTTTACAACCGAATTCAATAGACAGGATCGGTCGTAAAAGGACGACACAATTTATAATTAAATTTTCCGTTTCGAATTATTAAAAAAAACTGCAATCTTGCACTAAACTAAAACAATGAATAGCCAATTTTGACAAACGAGAAACGATTTTTTACGCAAAGGTTAATGGCATACAGGTCTCATGGTCATTAAATCGTTGCTGCAAAAAATTGGACCCCGAGGCGGCAATATTTTCCGTGAGATTTTTATGAATGGGAAAAGAATTTTTTTCTTAATTTTTCTTACCTTCCACCTCTCGGCGCATTTTTTGGAAAACTCAGCAAAGACGACATTTTCTTCCGGATGTTTCTTCTTATGTTCCTCCCGACATGTTTGCACGAAGAAAGCATATGCTGTCATACGGCCCCTGGGCCTGGAATCGGCTTTTGCGCGCGGCATCCTCCCTTTGATCTGGTTTTGTCCTAGAACGTTCGTCACCTGCTGATGCTGTTGTTGTTGATGGTGGTTGTTTTGTTGTAATTGTTGTTGTTGCAACTGTTGTTGCTGTAACTGTTGCTGTTGATGCTGCTGTTGCAACTGTTGTTGTTGTAATTGTTGTTGTTGCAACTGTTGATGTTGCTGTTGCAATTGTTGTTGCCGAGCTTGAGCTTCAGCTATTGCTTGATGGTGGTGTTGGATAGCAGCCTGTTGTGCTTCAGCCTGCTGTCTATGCACCTCTTGTTGATGCCGTTGATGGGCTTCTTGGTGCCGTTGTTGGGCTTCTTGGTGCCGCTGTTGGGCTTCCTGATGCCTTTGCTGGGCTTCTTGCTGTTGTTGTTGCTGCTGCTGTTGTTGCCTCTGCGTGTCTTCTTGTCTAGCCTGATTTTCTGTTTGCTGAAAAAAATGAAATTTCTAATTAACTGGCTTCGTAGCCGTCAATTATTTCGTTCTTGGACGCGCCCAAGATGAGACCACCTGTCCTGACCTCCAATATGCGGTCAGTGAAGCTTGTAATGACCCAAACTGAAGAGGCATTATTCACTAACGAACTTACAATATCGTTTTATAGTACTCAAGTGTCTCTATTACACCAAATTGTGAGAGAAAAACTGATTTGGTATAAATGAACCACATAAATTAAATAAAAATTCCTCTCAGTTAATTTTTCTTGCTAACGAAACATTATGGTATACTTCATTAAATTGTAATTTATAACATCACGATTTCTGCTATAATTTTAGGACAGTTTGCAAGGCCAACATTGGGTTCAAGCCGGCGAAATGTCAGAGGTCTGAGCACGCACACCTTTTAAGAAATTGAAGTGATCAATCATTAAAATTCCCAATATAAAACGGGAAACACATTTTTCATATATCGAAAATTAATTATGAAAAGTCTAACAATTGTACAATCGAATACATTCATTCAATATCAATGTCAAGAATATTGACGGAAAACATGTTAAAGTTTTTTTTTTATAAACTCGCTTGACTTAACGACTTGAATGAAAATACTTTGTTAAATAACATTTTTTGCGAATTTGCTTGTATAATGCGTATATTCCCTTTTTTCTCGTAATAAATTGTCAAACGTTGTCAGTTATTCAGGTCACGTTTTATTAATTATCAAAAAAATAATCGACTATTAAGTTTGAGTAATTTAAAGTCTAATTGTTGTTTTTAAATGCGAATATAAGGTAAGAATTAGAAATATTCCCTTTTATGTATAAAAAAATATTACAAAAAGCTACAGTAATTCAGGTTGTAGTCCTTTAACAGCGTGTTTTCATCTATTAATAATTATTTAAGCGAAATAAGTTAAAACTTGGCATACGCTTAAAAATCATAAATGTTAAAAATTATGGCGATTTTTGGAAAATTCGTTCATTTTCAGAGAAGAAAATAAATTTAAAAAGTTACAGAATTTGGATTACTCCCTCTTTTGAAGAAATATAAATTATTTCACTTTGCCGATTTAAGAAAGTAAAAGAATTTTATTTTTTTATTTTATTTTATTTGAAATAATAAAAACGTTTTTTTGGTTTATAAAGATAAAATTTGGTAATTTGAGTGAGTTTCTCCTTCAAAAAAGTAATAAAACGGCTCGGAAACGGCTGAAATGTGTAATATCACAGACCTAAAACGACACTTTCTTAACTTGTCTCAGGAAATTTTGAAAAACATTAATGATGAAATTCAAGATTTTCAGACGTAAAAATGTGCTAAATCGTTCGTCAATGGCTGAAAATATGACTTAAAACCACGATTTTCTTACTTTTTTCATCAAAATCTCTGCATTTGAGTAGATTTTTGTTAAAAAAATGTTATAAACCGGTCGGAAATATTGTATTTTACACACAACGATTTTTTTCATCGATTTAAGTGAAGCTAAATTGTTCAGATTTTCGTACTTGTTTCACCAAAATCGCTAGGTTTCTTAATTTTTTTAATCAAAAATGTGATAAATTACGCTATATTAAAATGTAATTTAAAATTTTTAAACAAATTTAGAAACTACACTTTTACATACGGGCTGAGACAGGTAAGACGACCGTTACAAAAATAAATGTACTTTGTATTATTGCGTTTTATTTTTGTTAAGGGTCATCTTACACGAATCAAATTGTATACCCAGCTGTTTTATTCTCAAATGAGTGACAAGGACAGATTAATATAAGGTTCTGTCATATAAACAAAGACAGAAAATAATAGACCACTCACGAGTTGTATGTTTTTGAAAATTTTTATTTGATTTGAAGCGACGGAATTGAAATACGCCGTAACCGAATTCGTATATTTGCAGACAAAGAATAAAATTTCGTTGTAAAGGCAAGCTGGCTTGGTTGCAAGCCGAGGGTCAAGAGACAGGTAGGCGGATTAGGCTATCGTAGGGTTCGGCCCCATTACATACCGGGGGAGGGGGAGTCTGTACAGGTGTCATAGTCTGTTGTTGCAAATTTTGTTGCGTTTGTTGTATATTTTGTTGTTGCATTGCATGCATCGCATTGTCCATAGTCGCGGGAGGATACCACCACTGTGTTTGTGGGGTTTGTGGTGCCCCCGGGGGCGGGTTTCCACCCGCCAGCCTGTAATCGTAATTCGAAGCGCGAACTGTCGTGGAGGCGGTGGTGGCGGGACTCTGAAAACTGCTGGCCATTTTATAGGAGAATAGCTGGTGGTGGGTGGTCTGAGGGCCAGTACTGGTCGGATTGTGCTGTTGTTGTTGTTGCTGCTGCTGTTGGACCATGTGCTGCTGTTGCAGCAGATGCTGGTGGTGTTGCACCTGCTGGTCGGGGGCGGCGGCGGCGACGACGCCAGGCCACCACATCGCGTCGCCCCAAGCGCCGCGGTGCTGGTCCGACATGACGCTCTACAGTTCGAGGGAGAGAAAGGGGTGCGCTGCCGCCCCTGAACCGATCACCATTTATATGAGCACACAAGCGCCAAAACCATCCTCGAGCGTCGCGACGCTCACTAAGATAAACTCGATTTTTTTTATACACACACACACACACTCGCACACAACACAACAGACACCGCGAAGAAGTTTCGATATGCGCGCCTCGATGAAATCTGGCAACACGGAAAAGAACAGCGAGGGACGCCAATACCGGCGACGGAGACAGCGCCCTCACACGCAGCGGAGTCGTCGAGAAATACCGCCGGCATTCGCCCTCTCCCCGGACCCCGCCGGCAACCGACCGGAACCAGACCGGTCGCTCCTCCGGCAAAAATTCGGACTTGGACCCAAGGCGCAAGCGCCCTCTTGAAACCACCACCGTTTTGGCGCCATTTTTGCAAAAAAATATAAAAAAGAGGATTTTTTCTAAGAAATCTTATACAAGGATTACATACAAGGTGTGCCAGAAAATTTTCAAGTACGATAAGACACCAGAAACAAAAAATTCTATCTAGAAATATTTCGAAGTTGTGAGAGTTTAAATTTTGCACTTTGACTCTATTTCTGTTGGAAAAATAATTTTCCAAGTTTTTTTTGCTACAGGCAAAAATCGTAACTCTGTTTAATGTTATTTGTGGCTTTTATTGGTAATTTTTTTTTACCTTTACTAAATTATTTTGAAAAGAGCATTATACAAGATCATCAGTAAAGCGCACGTATTTTCACAAATTATACACAAAATATTAAAAAATATGCTCCAATATATACAAAATATGCATCGATATGCAAAATTTTGAACAATAAAAAGTCAAACGTTTTTTGCTTAAAGTATTAATTTTTTGAAAAAACTAATTGATGGATTATAAAGTTCTATAAAATTGTGATGTTTTATCAAAAATAAAATTTTTCGAAATATTTGTTATTTTTTTCATGAAGGTCATGATCTAAGGGATTACAACTATCTACTTTATAATAAATTATTTTTTACATATATCGCAATTTATACAACAAAAATCGAATAACTCAAAAACAAATTTCGAAAATAAGATCATTTTTTATATTACTTTAATTTATATTAATTATTATTTTTTGGAAACAAATGATTTAAAAAAAAAAACACAATATAAAAAGGAAACACTCAGCAGGGTACTAATTTTTTGAGTTTGGCCTACAAATTACCAGTTGTTTTCTCTTTAAAATATTTTGTAATCGGATCATTTTTCATAAACTGTCCAATTTTTAACTTGAACTGGAATTTTTAATCGGAAATTAGTGATTTGAAGAAAATATGCACAAATATGCAATATTTCCTAAAATATGCACCAAGTTGCCAAAATATGCATTTTTTAGTTGGCTTATTTTAATCAAAAAACATTAGATATGCATAGAAAACTTACAATTTTGTTGATATACCTCTTAATAACAAATATGCATTTTGCATATAATCCGAGCCTTAATCATCAGTATCATTAAATAGACGTAAAAAATTGTCAAACGTCAAAAAATAAATGGCAAAATTTTTTTACAAAGAAGTTTTCAAACATGTTACTTGAAATTTTTCTGGGGCGAGTTCTGGCACACCCTGTATAGAGCTTTTCCGATGGGTCGACCCAGGAAAAACAAATGCGTGCCAGTTTTTCCAGTCCAGAAGATTTAAAAAAAAATATTGCTCTTATTTTAGTAGTCCTGAAAATTTGCACATTGTAAGTCTAGTAAGAGAAAAAACCGGAAAATTTTTCCCAGACTCAGGATTTCTTAATTTTAGATGACTAGAAAAATATGACCAAAAAAATTCACTACCTCTTTGGACCCATAATAGGAAATAGTCATTTTTCAAGCTTATCAACATTATTTTGTAAAGTTTAATTTACTGTTCTTTAATATTGTCCGGCTGTAATATTTTTCAAGTTATTAACTAAATGAAAGAAAAACTACAAAAACAAGAAATCTGTAGCTTTGTAACTTGTTCCTAGAAATTCTTCGACAAAAGGTATCCATAAATTTAGTGTCCCTTGAGATAATTTTCCTAACGAGGACCCTCTGCTGAATTTTAATCAGTAATCGATGCCACTTCGGCGCCATTGAAAACAGGCAAGAGGTTTTTGGCTTTTAAATTATGTAATTCACAAATAAATAAAACTTGATATTTGACTTGACGTTTTAGTTGTTAATAATGAAGAATAAAAATTAGCCAATTCATCTAAAAACATTAATATTATTAAAAAAATCTCCACAGAAAAAAAACCTCATAAATTTTTATAACAAAACGATTAATATTTTACATTAATAAAAAGAAATTCCTCTAAAGCTAAGTCGTAATTAGATGTAAAAAAATACCAAAGCTTCTTTAGACCAATCAAGTAATTAAGCTGTTACACCTTTAAAAATGTTTCCCTGCACCAACATCCTGTATCTTTTCAAGGAAACATTTTTTTATTAGTCGCTGTTGTGTTTATTTTGCAAAATTTTGTTACAAAACGCCAAAAATTACATAATTAAGGCAACAAAGGTGTTAATTTTGTTTTTTATTGCTTTAAACAGGTTTCGTTTTTTTATTTGAATTTGATTTTTTTGCAAGATTTTGACAAACAAGTCTAAAAATCACAAAAATAAATCAAAATTGTTTTTATTTTATTGGTTTTTGCTCGTTTTCGTCAAAAATAAGTTTAAAAAGACACAAAATTTGGTCTACAAAGGTGTTATTGCTATTTTTTTCAAGCAAGTATAATTTTAAAACGAAATTTTTAGTTTATGACAAGAAAATTGCCTAAAACACCAAAAACATTACCAAATTGAATCAAAAATACTGTTACTTTTGTT